AAGTAGGTAGGAAGAGATGGGTTAATACTGTTAGAGAGTGGTATAAGATCCAGCATAACCTTCTCCCAACAACTCGAGTTATTGGGACCAACTGGTTTATGTCATAGTATCAGAGCCTAGGACCGAAAGGTCATGTGTTCGAATCTCCACGACCCCCAATATTAACCATTGTCTTTCAAGCACATGGTATGGTGGGCCTGTGCAAACTTCAAGCCCGTGAGTTGGCTTTCGTTTGAGGGGGCATGTTAGAGAGTGGTATAAGATCCAGCATAACCTTCTCCCAACAACTCGAGTTATTGGGACCAACTGGTTTATGTCAAATACTTAGTAGCAAAGATATAGGATTAGGTGGGGATTACAGTGGGAAGTAGATTTAAAGTGTGAAGAAAGGTCCACGTGGTATAAAATACCCATCCTAGCATTATTACCAAATTATTTAGCCCTGTAGAGTTGAAGTCGAGATTTGAGGCTAATTATCATAAATGGTCACAAAACTATTCACTTTGTACAAAAAGGTCACAAACCTTTAATTTTGCATGTTTCAGTAAAAAAAGTTTGAGCGAATAACAAAATGGTCAATCTGTCCACTCCTATCCAAAAATCCGTTACTTTTGCCCAATCAACATGACACGTCATTAAAAATATTAATAAAAAAATTATTTAATCGGCCTAAATAATCCGAACAACCCAACTGGTTCAGTAACTCGTACCCACCCGAACTCACACTAATACTAGTATACTACCCAATGATTTCATCCAGTGGGTCAAACTTCTTCGCCTCCGTTGAATTAGGCTTCAGGTGAAGCAGACCTGCAGTTAGGGCCGCCATGCCGTACCAACCAATTACTGGAAAGCAAATCGATTTCCAGGGAGAAATTTTCACTTACTGACGCAATCAGCGATTTCTAGGAATCTACCACTATCTTCGTCTTCTACTTCTTCTTCCCCAAAACTCTTGTCCCTTCCATTTCCATTTCAGCTAATTCCAAATTCCGTAATAAAACAATTAACCCCAATCCCCTTTTGTTTCGGTTGATTCTGATATGATCCCAATTGGATCAATCCACAATTCAAAATTACTTGCCAAAGAAGCTATCAAGGTTGGAAAGTAGAAGGGCAGAATTTGGTTAAGTATAGAGACAGTTTCAAGGTACCAACTTTGGAGGTATGGTTCTCTTAATTGGATCAATGAAAATTGGTGTTTAATGGCTTTTTTTAAATATAAACACTTTATCTATAAGTTGGTATGCTTGGTGGCTCAAGTGGAAGTCCAGAAGATCACATTCCAGACGTATAAAAATGCTATGAAGAATTCTGAAAACTGCCAAAATCTGGCTAAGGCAGAAAACAGTTTTGAGATGCAAACTTTGAAAGCCTATATCTGGAGTTTGGAGCATGATCTCAGGCTGATTCAAGTTGGAGATGAAACAGGAAGTTTTATTCTACAAAGGCAAGGAATTGGTTGAATTCGAATCAACCTAGAAGACCATTTTCGAAGGGCTCAAAGATGCCATGAAGCCTGTTTTCCTAGGCAGACTTGCTTGCGTTTTAAGTCAGTTTCTTGGCCAGCAAGTTACCTTGTTTTACACGAATTATTTAGCCTTTTTCTGTTCTAATTAGTTTCCTTATTCATGTAGGATTGTATTAGGTTTATTTGTCTATAAATACTCTTCTATTTTCGTTGTAAAAAGGGAAGACTTTGATTAATCGAAAAACAAACCTTTGGTTTTGTGCAAGTTGCGACTTGTGTGAGTTTGGTGGATTCCAAGCTTGTGAGATTTGTATCGATTGAATATTCTCTTCAATCGTGGTCGAGCAGCTACCCTTTTATACCATACGATCTTTCCCCAGGTGTGGAATTGTCCGTTGGTTCCGTTTTATCCCAAGTTCGTATTAAGAACGCTTCGTTCTTGATTCGAGCTCAATCGATTCTTCGATTGAGTCTTTTGCTGCGTTACTTTGATAACATACACCCCCCAGGGGCGTATTAAGTGGTATCAGAGCCCGGTTCTACACAAGGGCGAAGAAGAGTACGAAAACTTGCTATTTCGTACAAGCGAATTTCGTCAAAAAACAGGGCAGCCCCTGTTTCATAAGTTCCAGCTGCTGTTTCGTGTGAAATCGTGATGGAAAACTCCCTTCGAGCAAAGGAGTTTGTAGAGGGCAGTACCATGGAGCAAGGGGCACGTTCATGGCCAAAAGAAGCAGCCAATAGTCGTCATTAAACATCGTGAATCTGACGAGCAAAGAGACAATCTGTTTCACAGTCGCTGTTTGATCAATGGAAAAGTGGCTTCGTTGGTGATCGATGGAGGGAGTTGCGCCAATTTGATCAGCGAATATGCCGTAAGAAAGCTTGAATTGAAAATCCAGAAGCATCCTAAATCGTATCATCTCACCTGGCTCAACGAACATGGAGACGTGAAGGTCAACAAACAAGCACAAATCGAATTTAGCATTGGTAAGTATTCGGATTCTGTGCTTTGTGATGTTGTTCCAATGCAAAATGTCGATATTTTGCTGGGTAGACCTTGGCAATTCGACAGAAGGGTGATCCATGATGGTTGGGAGAATTCGTACACCCTCAAACACGATGGAAAGAAGATCAAATTGAAGCCTATGTCGCCCAACGACGTTTATGCCGATCTCAAGACAATAGAGGAGAGGAGGAACGAAGGAAAGGGCGTTAGAGCGCAGTTTTGGGTACAGAGGCGTATCGGTTTCAATTTCATGAGCTTTAGGAAGCACCAGAAGGCTCTTCCAGAGCTCGACCCTGCAGTCTGCAACAAACTCTTATTTTCCCCGGTAAAACAGAGTTGCGAACCAAGCACCGTTGTCGATGACGAAATAAGAGAATCAGAGCATGTCGTGGCTAAATATCAGTTCCTAGAGGTTGAAGATATGTCGGGGAAGCGATTAGAAGGACCAGAATTGTCCACCATCGCGTGAATCGAACCGACGACGAGAGCAGAGTTTCTCGGCTCTGTGTTTTCGTCGGCAACACAGAGTAGGAGAGAGGGGCAATTGGTTGGAGCAGCTCGCGAAGCTTCGAGCCAATCCAATGAAGCCGTCACGTTCCAAATGGAGTCAGGAAGCTCTCCCCATTATCAAAAGGAAACGAATCCTTCTAGTTTGCTGAATCAAAATCGAGCTCACACCCCCCTGGAAACGCTCAAGAACAAGCAAAAATCGACTGAATGGGATGGGGAGATCAGGCGTGATTCGATACCTACGACAACTTCAGAATCGTTCAAGGAGGTCAACAGAAGGTGTAGGAACGATCAATTGGTCGCGGAGATGGCCGAATCGAAAACGCCCGAGTTGAAATTTTTTGACCGAAAGGTTGGAGAAGAAAAGAATCGATCGATTAGCGAAATTAAGAGTCATTCGAAGCTAATGGAGGTCGTTTCCAAGTTCGTAAATATCCAAGTAAGGGGTATGAGACTTCAATTGGACGAGGAGAGTGCGGAATTAAAAACACCCAATTCGCGTTTCGGCTCACCGGAAACTGGGTTTTTCTCGCCGGAATCTGGGTTTTGGTGGCCGGGTTCTGGAAATTTGAAATTTACCGGTGGCGGGAAAATCTGTTCTTCTAATTGGCGACAATTTGGATGGTTTTCTGGGCTAGGAGTGATTGGAATAGGCTCCTGGGGGCGAGGCGAATCAATCTCAACCGACGAATTGGACCTTGACATCCTCAAGAAGAAACCCCCAAAATTGAAGCTCTCGCCGGAGTTCTTGCCGGCGCCGGAAACTGGAAATTATGCGCAGCAAGCTCTAGGTTTGTTTGAGCATAATTTATGCGTGGGAAAGGTCCGTTGGAGTCCCACGAACGTCACGGAACTTGAATCGTGGAAAACAACCACCAATTCGCGAGTTAACGAAGTGTTGAAGTTCGACATTACAAGTTCGTGGTACCTAATTCGTGACTCGATTTGGGAGGAATTTTGTGACGTTTTTGACAGGAAGCAGCTTCAAGCTTTGAGGTCAAAGCCTTTTGAAAAGGGGAATCCTGATATGATCCCAATTGGATCAATCCACAATTCAAAATTACTTGCCAAAGAAGCTATCAAGGTTGGAAAGTAGAAGGGCAGAATTTGGTTAAGTATAGAGACAGTTTCAAGGTACCAACTTTGGAGGTATGGTTCTCTTAATTGGATCAATGAAAATTGGTGTTTAATGGCTTGTTTTAAATATAAACACTTTATCTATAAGTTGGTATGCTTGGTGGCTCAAGTGGAAGTCCAGAAGATCACATTCCAGACGTATAAAAATGCTATGAAGAATTCTGAAAACTGCCAAAATCTGGCTAAGGCAGAAAACAGTTTTGAGATGCAAACTTTGAAAGCCTATATCTGGAGTTTGGAGCATGATCTCAGGCTGATTCAAGTTGGAGATGAAACAGGAAGTTTTATTCTACAAAGGAAAGGAATTGGTTGAATTCCAAGCTTGTGAGCTTTGTATCGATTGAATATTCTCTTCAATCGTGGTCGAGCAGCTACCCTTTTATACCATACGATCTTTCCCCAGGTGTGGAATTGTCCGTTGGTTCCGTTTTATCCCAAGTTCGTATTAAGAACGCTTCGTTCTTGATTCCAGCTCAATCGATTCTTCGATTGAGTCGTTTGCTGCGTTACTTTGATAACATACACCGCCCAGGGGCGTATTAGATTCCTTCCACTGGTGCCGCATTTACCTTGCTTTTTACTCCCCTCACATGGGGTAGATAGTGGGTTTCAAAGATATTGATGGAGTGGGACAGCAGCAATTCAGATCTGAGCGATGACGAGGAGGAAGGCAGCTTGACCTCAACGATGGCGTTGGTCCAATCTCTATCCTCGTGGAGAGCTTGCTTCAAACAGCCGCTAATTATCATAAATTGTTACAAAATTATGCACTTTGCACAATCAGCATGACACGTCATTAAAAGTATTAATTTAATCATCATTTAATCATCCCAATTAACCAGCACAATCCAACCGGTTGTACCCTAATACACACCCCTTCCCGATTTGGAGAAAGTCAGCGATAGACAAAAGATTAACAGGTGGTACTCTGCTTCTCCGTCCCCCACGCCGTTGCACTCACCGTCGTCGTCTACATTCAGACCGAAGTCAGTTGGATCTCGGTTTTGCCTTCACCACTGCCTGCCTCCTCTTCTCCATCTCCCTCTTCCAAATCGACTACAGAACCTACATCCTCAAATCCCCAGAGTGAAGCCCCTTCTTCGATATGGTCCGGGTCATCACCGCCGCGTTCAGGAAACGTAGGATCGAAACCCGGCCCAACTCCCAAACCCTATTCCATGACACCCCCAACGAAGACGACGAAGAAACAGGGGAAAAAACAGAGGAATTCTCTGCGCCCAACAATTCCAAGCTTTCTCGAACTACAAGATTGAGGTGCTTCGCGGCGATAATCGTCGATCTGTCGAAGATCGAAGAACAAGGGAAGGCAAGTAATCCATGGAGATTGTGCACTCTGCAGCAGGTGGAAGGATTGAAGCTATTGGTGGTGACGTTTCAAGTTTGGGTTTCTGGAATTGCTTGCCTTATGTTGATGGATCATTAATAGAGTTAATGAAGGAGTTAAGCTTCTTCAGCCGTGCGATTGTGAGCCTTCTTTCCTGGACGGAGTGAATAATTTTGGATTGGAATATGGAGATTGGATTAGGGTTATAGAGTGAGGGGAAATTGTTCTCGTATTGGATTTATATTTCTATTGGGTATAATTTTTGAGTGGGGTGGAGTTTGGTTTGGTTGGATATAATTGGTTTGGTTTATTAATTTTGTTTTATTATTTGTTGATGACATGGAGTGCTAACTGGAGTAAATTAACGGATTTTTGGATGGAGATGGACGGAATTACCTTTTTGTTATTAGTTCAAACTTAAAACATATGTTACCGAAACGTGCAAAATTAAAGGTTTGTGACCGTTTTGTACAATGTGAATAGTTTTGTGACCATTTATGATAATTACTCGGAATATCTAAGGTGAGTGTAAAGGGGGTAAATTCTACGCCTTACGGTATTTCAGTTTTGAGATTGACCGCTATGTGCTATACTTGCCTTTGTGTGTTTATTTGATGCATGTGATTGCGTGTGATTTATGCTTCCAGTTATACATATTATAATGCGCGTTTTATTTATAAGTAAGTTGAAGTTTAAGAACATGCTTTCTTTTAACAAGTAATTCACCTTCGAGAAGGTGAAACCGTTTTAAGAGTTTTATTCAATAGAGCCAATTCGTTGCCATTTGAGATTTTGAGATAGAGCAATAGTTATGCTCTTGAGACTTTTAAGATGAGCAGCAGTTATGCTCTTGAGATATTTTAAGATGAGCAACAGTTATGCTCTTGAGAATCGTGGAAGAAGAGTCTTCCAGGATAAGTTTAAGTTTAAGAAAAGTCTGGAGGGCTTCTCTGTTGATGTATATGGGCTCGGCCCATTCCCCCTTTCACATATGTACTGGGTTTGGCGGGTTTGGGGTCAGCCGAGAGGCTAGCTAGGGTTTGAGGAACCTAGCTCATATATATACGTATGTAACCTGTATGCTGAAGTTAAGCTGAATAAGAGAATCGTATAGTTTTGGCCGTGGAATAGTCTCGTTCACGCTGAACGGGGAAGCCACGTAAAACTGTGTGTTCGTTATCGTTTCTGTTTGCGAGATTATATTATCTAACATTCTAATACGTATGAGTTGGTCAAGCAGACTAGCTAGTGGGGGATCCCAGTGTCAGTCAAAAGTTTAAGTCAAGATTTGAGCTTCAAGAAGGGAGAGTAAATTTAGCTCTCATACAGTTTTAAGTGTTTTTAAGAGTGGAAGTACAAACAACTTCCACCAATTCAAGTAAGTGTTTTAAGTAAAGTGCTAAGCAGTAGAAAGTTTAAATTGTAAGGGCGTAGACTGACCCCAACTCACTCACCAGTTTGAAGAGGAAGGAGCTAGAGGAGCAGTTAGGGAGCAGCAAGATCGAGAGAAACAGTTCGAGGGAAGCTAGATAGAGGAGGACGGTATGAGCGTCACAGAAGATGTCTAGTCAGAGTTTCACACAAGCAGCAGCAATTGAGACTAGTTAGTTATTATGTTTTATGATTATGAGTATAGACTGGAGATCAAGTTGAGTTTTTAAAGTTTGAGTTAAGTTTCCCACGTGTTCGGGCGTTGCTTTGAACTACAAGAGTGTGTTTTCAGAAATCTATTTATGAAATTTTCTCCCCATTGCAGTTTAAGCTTTGAGTGTTTTAATTTTCAAGGATATTTTGGTAAAATTAGTACCCGGCCGAGTTAGGGTGTTACATTAGTAGTGGTTCTAGAAAAGGGTCAATAATAATGCATCGTGTCTTTTGAGATATGATTTACTATTTGTAGCCCTAAATGTTTTTTATTTGTAGCCCTAATATATTCAAATTTACATTAAGACCCCTCGTTTAAAAAAACTCAACCTTTCTCTTTCTTGCATGAAATTTTCGTCGGTGGTCTCCAGCCACCTCCACCCTCGCCAACAATTATCTCCGGCCACCGCCCACTATTGCCAATCACCATCTCCGACCACTGTCCACACTAGCCATCGCACATCCTCGCCGGCCACCGCCCACCCTCGCCGACATAAGTCCACCGACACTGACAATGTTTCCAATATGCTTCCAACCATGGTCGGCGACGTGTTCAATACACGTCCAACCATGGCAAGCAACATGTGGAATACGCGTGCGGCCATGGACGATTATGTATATTTCACACATCGTTGGCGATGGTCAATTCGTATTCTGCACGTCAACGGTCACCCACCGACCATATTTTTAATTAGCAGCTTCTCTCGTTTGCCTCTTTAGCCATTGTTTTGGATAATATTAGGAGTTTCACTCGTGGTATGTTTTGCGGGAGGGATGATTTTTGAGCTTCACATCTTATGGACTGCTTGGGTGGTGCTATTGTGGTTATCTCGGATGATTTTCTAGCCTCTATTACTCAAGTGGTTAATGTTTTCCTTGAGGTTGATATTCGTAGTCTCTTGGTGAGTACATAGCTAGCGCTCCTTTCACGCCACTTGTTAAACCAGGGGGTGATGTCTATCTTATAGCCTTGACACAGTTTGGAGACGTCTTGTTTCTAAAGTTGGTGCTTGTCTTGTTGGCCCTACTTTATCTGGTTATTTTGCTGGTCTTAAGTTTGGGTCGGGGTTTCTGGTGGAGGAGGGGCTGTTTTGCATGGATTGAACCGATTCGTTGAAGCCCACGGTGGTGACGTTGGTTTTTCTGTGTTGCTGGTCGTTTTCCAGAATGCTTTCAATTTAATTGATAGTGGGGCCATGCTTCAGGAAGTTCGTCATCATTGCTTGGTCTTGTCCCGATGGGTAGAGTTATGTTACTCTAGCCCTACTTAGTCATATTATGGAGTGCATAGCTTATGGTCTTGCCAGTGGGTTTAGTAGGTAGACCCTTTGGGCTCTTTGCTTTTTGTTTTGGTGTTGCAATCTTTAGTGATGTGGACACTTTGGTTGTTCGGAAGGTCTTAGACATGATTATGGATGAAGGCCCTCGAGCTGGCCTTCACCTAAATGTGGGTCAAACAGAGGTTTTTTGGCCTACTGAGGATCCTAGGAGTCGGCTTTCGGGTGTTTTTCCCACCTCTATCGGTCAGCCTCCACACGGTGTCACCGTTCTGGATGGTCCTGTCTGTTCTTGTCCTGATTTTAGCAGTGAGCTTGTGGCGAAGAGAGTTACTAAGACCATTGAGTTGATGGACTTGGTTGCGAGGATTCATGACCCACAGTGTGAGTTGCTTTTGCTTCGGGCAGGTATTGGTGTTTCTAAACTCTACTTTGCTTTGCATAGTTGCTCCCTTCATATTTTTTGGTCGGCCGAGCTATCTTTTGACACAGCTCTTCGGTCTAGTTTAGAACATATTGTACTGCTTCTAGGCTCGGTTTTGATGATTGGCAGTGGCAGCTTGCCACCTTCCCTTTTCATTTGCGTGGGCTTGGGGTTTATGCTGTTGGATATGTCCTTCATTATGCTTTTGTGGCGTCTCTTTTGCAATCTGCGGAGTTGCAAGCTAAACTCCTAAGTCCTGCTGGTCTTCTATCTCCTGCCCCTGCTCTTGATGACGCCCTACATACCTTTAATGAGTTTACAGGTTAGGATCTCTTACGTGAACCTAGTGGAGTTGTTGCCCTAAAACTTATGAATAAACCGGCATATATATATGGGGAGTTCTACGGTACCCATGGTGAAATTCGGGGTACCGCATACCTTGAGTAAGAAAACGTTATCTATAACTTGAATTGACTGATCTTTCGGACATGATACTATACTCTTACCCTTAAAGATCAAAATCTAGGTCTTAATTCTCTAAATTTTATACCCCAAGATCAATTTAATTAGACAAAATAATCGACGGTTATGATTCGTTCAAATATAGGCCAAAACATTAATCCACCATCTTACGGTTTATAGTTTATGATTTTGATAATTAGGAACTAGGGTTCACTCATTAAGGGTTAGGGTAGAGTATCATGCCCAAAAATCCTACTAATTCGAGATCTAGATAGCGTTTTCATACTCAATGTATACGGTACCCTGGATTTCACCCGAGGTACCGTAGAAGACACCATATATATATATATCTAAGGTTGTTACTACTTTAGATTATGTTTTCTCGTTGATTAAGTGTCAAGTTGCTTTGTGGAAGTCTCAGCAGAGTGCGCACTCTTCTCATTGGTTGCGCGATGTTCCTATTGTTGGGTTGGGCCAGACTATGAATGAGAGGAGGTAACGTATTGTGCTTAGTTATCGATTGGGTTTCCCGTTGTTTTCAGTATATAAGCCATGTCCTGCTTTTCCCGTGTCTTTCAGGGTGATGTCTTTGGGGATCATGTTGTGTCTTGTGCTGGTTCTGTGGGCATTAAGAATAGGCACAACCTCGTTCGTAACACGTTATTGGACATCTGTTACAGGTCTGGGATTTCTTTTGGTAGGGAGGTTGATATCGGTTTGTTTGATGGGAATGGCGGACCCTTTCGTCCTGTTGATTTGTTCTATTCCTGGGACAGGGGCGAGATGTGTGTGCCGATTTGACTGGATTTCACATCTGACTCAGACTGGGATGACTAGTTTTGTGCTTGGCTGACTTGTTGCTGATGTTGCTCAGTGAAAGTGTGTCAAGTATCGGGACATGTGTATGGCGGCTGGCTACAGTTCCTGCCCTTTTCTTTTTCTTCACTTGGAGAGTTGGATACCGATTTTGTGACTTTGCTCAAGAGGATCCAGAAATTCTCCATGTCTCATGATGCAGGGGCTCTGGCGGCTGCACACATTTTTACTAGACTTAGTTTTGCTATAGCTAAGGGAGTATTGGGCCAGATTTTATCTCGGCTATCCACCAATTTGTTATAGACCATTATTTGTTCTCCTTCCACTCATAATAATAGGTGGTTAATGCAATATTTCCACTCATAATAATGGGTTCTTAATGCAAACATTGTTTGGTCAAAAAGAACTTATTAATTAATAGTTAAAATTAGAATTTCAACAATTAATTTCTTGATTCCCTCACAGATTTTCAATATGAGAGTAAATTAGCCAATTAATCAATGATTAAGGAGCTTTTGCATATGAGAGTAAATTAGCTAGCCAATTACCATAAACACTCTAGGCCAACTAATTTTTTTTTTTATTGATTACAATTGATTCTCTAAAGGAGGGGTGAGATAACATGACTACCCCTAAATGGGTTGGAAAAATGACACCCCATATTAATTATAGGCTTTTAAAGTAATTGATTTGTGTTGTATTTAATAATCTGTCTGAATTAAAAACTCAAATTAATAAATTTTATTTTTCAGTGGAATGGTAGTTGTACCAGTGCAATGATATTAGTGTACAGGTGCAATAGTAGTTCAAAAAATGGAATATAATTAATATTAGTTCAGTGTACATGTGCAATGATAGTTGTTTCAGTGCAATAGTAGTTCGAAAAAACGTAATTAATAAGAGTTTTTAATTCCCAATGATTATGAAATGCAACACGAATTTAATATCATAATTGACTAGAATTAATAGGGGGTGTCATTTTTCCAACCCAATAGAGGGGTTAACAAGCTAACTCACCCCTAAAGGAAGATCTATTGATGGTCGAATCCACCTCTATGAAATACCAGCTTCCTTTCGCTGATGATGGTCAGAGATAGATGGTGATGGCCGGTGAAGGGTTCCGGCTACCGTGGTTGGAAAGAGCTAATTGTTTTGGGAGAATATTTGAAAATTATGTAAGTTTTTTTTTTTTTTTTCAGGGGTATTTGGTGAATTTATTGTTTTGGGCTACAAGTCTCATTTAGGGCGGCTAATAGTACATCCTTTTGAGATATCATAGTGCACGCATTATTTCATGCCAACGATGAGGACTAGAATCACTCGTACATCGACTTACTTGTCTTGTCGCAAATACGATATATGGTCTTGTATATGCAAGTCATTAATACCATCAAGCACCCAATTAACATGGAATATTCCAGTTGCAAATTAAAACTGGTTGACCAATATTAATCATAAGTCCAATACTTGGATCGATTGGGGTCTTAGAGCTGAGGACAATTTTTGTTGTGGAATGAGCAAGCACCTTCTCAATGTGGTTAGATTGAGACAATGCAACTCGCGACAATAAAAAAATTGAAAAATGAATTTCTAAAACCAAAATTCATTTTTCATTTTTCATTTTTTTATTCAAAATGAAAAAATAAATAGTAATAGGTAGAAAATATAAAATATATAAGTGAAAGGTGCAGACTTGGCGGTGACGTGACGCCTTGACTAACCGTCCAAGATAACGGTCAATTTTTCGGATTTGGCCAATTTCGTTACTTTGGTGTATAGTTCAGACCATGATATCATAGATCAAAAAATTGACCATCATGTTTAATATGTCAAAAGTTGAGGTCATACAAATATACTAACCCAATTATCAAACATTGCATGTATACTTTTGTCTCCTTTATTTAATCATAAGTCCAACGGAGAGTACTTTAGACAGCAACATAGCTTACTCATAAATAACATCTTTGCCATTTCACTTGATATCATACTCATAAATAACATCGGCCTTCCCCATGTCCTACATGGAGAGTACTTTAGACAACAACATATCTTAGTAAATTTCACTTATCTTTTATTGTACCAAATAATAAACAAGTCATTCCTACATACAAATATATATGATGGCTAATTTATATATTAATTACCAAACATTGCATGTATATTTTTCTCTTCTTTATTTAATATAAAACACTAGAAACAAACACACCATAAAATCACTAGCAAAATCCAAATTTGTTTAAAACTTCATAAATATCCAACACGAATTAAATATCATAATTGACTACAATTAATGAGGGTGTCCTTTTTCCAACCCAATAGAGGGGTTAACAAGCTAACTGACCCCTAAAGGAAGATCTATTGATGGTCGAATCCACCTCTATGATATACAAGCTTCCTTTCCCTGGTGATGGTCAGAGATAGATGGTGATGGCCGGTGATGGGTTCCGGCGACCGTGGTTGGAAGGAGCTAATTGTTTTGGGAGAGAATATTTGAAAATTATATAAGTTTTTTTTTTTTTTTGTTAGGGGTATTTGGTGAATTTATTGTTTTGGGCTACAAGTCTCATTTTGGGCGGCTAATAGTACATCCTTTTGAGATATCATAGTACACGCATTATTTCATGCCAACGATGAGTACTAGAATCACTCGTACATCGACTTACTTGTCTTGTCGCAAATACGATATATGGTCTTGTATATGCAAGTCATTAATACCATCAAGCACCCAATTAACATGGAATATTCCAGTTGCAAATTTAAACTGGTTGACCAATATTAATCATAAGTCCCATACTTGGATCGATTGGGGTCTTAGAACTTAGGACAATTTTCGCTATGGAATGAGCAAGCACCTTCTCAATGTGGTTAGATTGAGACAATGCAACTCGCGACAATAAAAAAATAAAAAAATGAATTTCTAAAACCAAAATTCATTTTTCATTTTTCATTTTTTTATTCAAAATGAAAAATTTAATAGTAATAGGTAGAAAATATAAAATATTTAAGTGAAAGGTGCAGACTTGGCGGTGACGTGACGCGTTGACTAACCGTGCAAGATAACGGTCAATTTTCGGGTTTGGCCAATTTCGTTACTTTGGTGTATAGTTCAGACCATGATGTCATAGATCAAGAAGATTGACCATCATATTTATTATGTCAAAAGTTGAGGTCATGCAAGTATATTAAACCAATTATCAAACATTGCATGTATACTTTTGTCTCCTTTATTAATTAATCATAAGTCCCACGGAGAGTACTTTAGACAGCAACATATCTTACTCATAAATAACATCTTTTCCATTTCACTTGATATCATAATCATAAATAACATCGGTCTTCCCCATGTCCTACATGGAGAGTACTTTAGACAACAACATATCTTAGTAAATTTCACTTATCTTTTATTGTACCAAATAATAAACATGTCATTCCTACATACAAATATATATGATGACTAATTTATATATTAATTATCAAACATTGCATGTATATTTTTTTCTTCTTTATTTAAGATAAAACACTATAAACAAACACACCATAAAATCACTAGCAAAATCCAAATTTGTCTAAAACTTAGTAAATAACGGATGAGAAACCAGACAACAAACCATTGAGATGTGACATAAGATTTCAATATAATAGCTTATTTATGTCTTTCATGATTACGGAAGTTAAGGTTTTATAGGCCTTTTCCGTGGGATGAAGACCATCCCAAAAAATGTACTTTGAAGTATCCGCACAAGTCGAAGGGCTCAATCGGTTGCAAAGAAATCCAAAATCTATAGTTCCTGTCCCGCAGCACCCCTCCTTCGCTACGACAAACCCTGCAATATATCCATCCACGTAAATAAATTAAACTTTCTTAAACCATGCATCCTAACTAACTTGATCAAGGAGAAATTAACTTAATTACCATAATTTTCAGGACGCCTAATGATATCTAACAAAGGCGTGTACACGTCAACAAACTGGACGCTCAAGTCAGGAAGCGAAACGTCGTCGTTAAGTCGCTGAATTTCGTGGCCAAGCTTCTCGTTGAACATCACCGCCAGCTCGTCGCACTCGTCGGAACATTGCCTCTGTACTCCGCCGAGCAAAGTTCTGAAGGCAGGGATACATCCCGTCGTTAATGTACTTAGGTGAACGATCTTTCGAGCACCCAGCCCGTACAACTGCCTGAGAAAGGCGGAAGCCTGGCCGGCGAGAAAGCCGGCGTATGAAGCCATTTCCGACGACGACTTTGTTCTGGTATGAAACAAAGAGGCCAATAAGACGTCGTTGTTGCCCGCTGATATTACGTAAAGGCCGTTTTCAACGACGTCGTTTGATCTCTGCTCTCCCACCAGGCTTCTCAACTTCCCCACGTATTGTCGGAAGAGATTGAGTTGATTTGGAATTGATATAACCGACTGATATACATTATTTCAAACAAGTCATAGTTAGAATTTAGAAATAATATATATAGATATACTTTTTGTTGTTGTTGTTGCAAAAAGTCACTTTTCTCGTAGGGTTAACATGAATTAAGAAAAGTCATTACTAATATCTTTAGTGTCTTGGGGTCATAGCCAGAGCCAGCAGAAGCAAAACACACTCCCGTTGTGAGATCCTCAGCTTCAAGACTCGGATCGAGATAAGGTGACAAAAAATGCTTTATTCCCAAATTTTCAACTGCACAAATTAAATACACAGATTATTAACTATTAATTACTTAGCTATAGCCCTGCAGAAACGATGTATTTGTATGTAAAGTACAAAAATCAAATAATAAGTACCTATGAGGTCGGAAATGAGCCTTCCATCGGAGAATCTACCGGTGGGGATTCTTCCCGGAAAATCCCTTCCGTAGGGAGGGAAGTTGGACTTTATCAAAGTTGCGATATGATCGTTGTTGCCCGTATCAAGAATCGAGTCCCCGAAGGCGAAGACAGCTGAAGAAGTTATTCTATTACCAACTGTTACGTTTTCAGGTGGCGGCGGCGCCATAGTTATTGCAACCGCTTCGCTGAAGAATAGAGGACCAATGGTTACAATAAGCTGCAGCAAGAAGAAGATTACGATGACTAATGATTCTGGAGAAGCCATATTACTATTGCTAGCTTAATTAGTGTGTTGGGTTTACTACAATGCACTACTAAACTTTCGATTGTCCATCTACGTATTTATATAGAGCTAACCTATGAAAAGCAGTTGATTCGGCGGTGGCTCTGCCAACTATACCGCTGCCAAGCCTGCCATCATCAATGATCTTCCCACTGTCTTATGAAAAGAGAACGAATCGGCTTGTGATTCTTCTAACCTAAGCATATGGGTTGAACTCATCATTAGCAAATGTTGGAAGCTTATTAAATATTAATGACCAATAATTACGTATTGGGGCGTTTTCTGTTACGTGTGGAAAAGGTCTTTCTGGTACAACTCTGAATACATATAGGAAGAAGCGTGCGGCACACTCCATTATAGATACGTAATTTACTTATCCGCCATGATAAGCTATAACAGGGGGTCCAGGATAGGGGTGGACATCCGGTTTGGTAAATCTGAACCAAACCGGACCAAAACTGAATTAAACCGAATCGAAAAATCATATCATTCGGTTCGAAATTCAGAAAGGAAATATGAATAATTTGGAAATCAAGGTTCTTCCAACAAAATTGAGGTTCCGAATTCCAACCGAAGTTTCGAAATATTGCTCACAACAGCCAAAATAAACCCAGACCAAACCCCACGGTTATTAAAAAAAAAAATATGAAAGCCAACTATCTCACTTATATCCCACAACCCACAATGCCTAGTGAAACCGTAGCCCAACCCAAATGAACCTTGGCTTAAAACCCCATTCCCAAATGAAAACCACACAGCGGTCGCCGCAGCCTCACTATTGGCGGTCGTCATTCCCCTCACATTGATGAACATCCCCCGCATTCCCCTTGGCCATTGCCTCCACCCTCTTCTCCTTCATGCCGTCCCACCTCCTTCACTGTCGGGAATCCCTAAAAAAAACCTCATTGAAGAAGAAGAAAAAGATTCATGAATAATAGGAAAAAAAGGAAAATTAGACAATTTAGAGTTTAAGAAAAGTAAATCCTCTATTATTTTATATTTGTAGAAGTTACTTTTTTATATAGAAAAAGTAAATTTTAAAAAACTAACACTTTGTTTTTGTCAGAACAGAAGCGTGCAATCGATAATCCAAATCAGCACGAACGAACACAAATTTAAAGTGGTTCACTAACACAATGTGTGCTAGCTAATCCACGGGCAGGGGGAAACAAATTTCACTGATTTGAGGAGAGTACAGGTTACAAACCAAATTCCAAATGGACAAACCAAACAAACTACCCTGACTGACCTTACTACAGGCTAGGGTGATGAAGAGTATTTATAGAACTCTTCTCCTAATCCCAAACAGAAAACCAAACACTTTTTCCCAAACATACAAGGAAAAGGTCAAACAAATCTCAAACACAAACCCAAACTAAATAGACCCAAACACAAAACAAAACCAATTCAAATTCAAGTCATATTCTAACAATCTCCACCTTGACTTGAATTCTCTCTCAAATACCAAATGTACCAGACGCAACCAAAGTTGCCAGATGTACCAGACGCAACCAAAGTTGCCAGATGTACCCAGATGTGATCGAAATCACCAAACTCAAACGCGATACAAATCGCCAAACTCAAACGCGATGCAAACAGAATTGCCAGATGTACCAAACTCCTCCAAACCAGTTGTACTATAATCTCCCCTGCCTCTAGATGCCCCTAAGGGCGGTCAACGAATCAATACATGCAGCAAGTCCAACACATGTTGGGACTTGCCATGCAGAACCAGCTTGGTGTTATTTCCGTCCATAACACCAACATCAAATTTACTGCTAACTCCAAGCCTGCAACTCCAAACTGACTTCTCAATCTTCAAATCTTAAACAAACATCCTTGGTGATCGAAAACCCTAATCACCACCAAGGGCAACAAACAGAATTCTCCCCAAACCACAAGCTATTACCGAACACAATAAATTCAAGTAATTGCTTCCAAATTCCAATTGATCTGCCAACTAGCTCCCTGCTGCAAATTCCAAATTTTCTTCTCGACAAACCAAACGATGCAACTCCAAACTGATGAAAGATTGCAATCACCACCCAATACCAAATTGCCGCCGAACAAAGAATTAATGAACACCAACAAATTTAGCAACCCTGCTTTCGCTACCAGTAAACTCCACCTGATTAAATCAATCCTAGCTCAAAGGAAAAAAAAAAGAATTGCGCGTCCTTGATAATTCCCAAACACAATTACCTTTTCTTGGCTTGCTTCTGTGCGCAGTGCCACAAACAATAATTCCAACCAATTTTCCAAACACCCACTCCACGGTCAAAGTAAAAGCAAATAACAATGGACGAAATTGCTGCAGGGCAGCCGGAAAGAAGCAAATCAAACTGTCGGCGGCCGACTTTTCTCGAGGACAGTGACTAGTTGTAGTGTCCCTGGCTGAATCCCGGCGAGAGAGGTGTTCTGGAAGAAGGAAGAAACACAGAGAGTCGAGAGAGAAAGAGAGAAAGAGAAAGAGATAGGGAAGAGTTAAGTTTCTTATTATTTTCTTTGTTCTTGTTGTACAGCAGTGTTCCCTCCTATTTATACGAACTGTACAATTACCAAACAACTCCTACTGTTTCTCCTTTCTTCAATCAAATCCAATTCATGACAACTCTCCCTCCCTTAGCTGCAGACTTGTCCTCAAGTCTGGAATTGTGGGAAACGCTGCTGGAAATCATCAAGGAATTCCCAAGTCGCATCCTCCTCTTGTTGATGTGTCCAGTGAACCAAAACCTGGGTGGTGGCCTGATTGCGACGAGCTACAAAACGGCGTGCTAAAATCGCTAGAGGCTCAATCTTCAACCTACCTGCATCATCATACTCGGGCAAAACAGGTTGGGTGATCACAGCGGATCCCCTCGCCAGTTTCAACAGGGAAACGTGAAAAACCGGGTGAATTGCTGATCCTGAAGGAAGCTGAAGACGATAAGCCACCTCACCAATTCTTCGAACAATAGGAAATGGGCCATAAAACTTTGGTGAAAGTTTTTGATTCGCCCTCTGCTGCACAGTCATCTGCCGGTACGGCCTCAACTTCAAATACACCAAATCTCCTTCCTGGAAACTTCTCTCTGTGCGGTTTCGATCAGCCATCTGCTTCTGGCGGTTTTGAGCAGCCGCGAGATTATCACGGAGTTTAGCCACCAAACATTGCTGCTGCTGGAGTCTCTCTGTCACAGCTGCTACTGAAGTTGACAGCGGATTCTGAACACCAAACTGCGAAGGAGTATACCCATATAGTGCCTCGAACGGAGTAATCTGCAAGCTTGTGTGGTAATTAGTATTGTACCACCACTCTGCCATAGAAATCCAGGAATGCCACTGCTGGGAAGAATGGTGGATCATGCTACGCAAGTAATCTTCCAGACAACGATTTAAACGTTCCGTTTGCCCATCCGTCTGGGGATGATAGGCGGTAGAGAAGTGTAGATGGACCCCCTGTAACTCAAAAAGTTTGGTCCAAAAGGCACTCGTGAAAATAGTGTCCCGATCTGAAACAATGGTTTGTGGAAGTCCATGTAACCTGAACACTCCATCAAAGAATACTTGGGCCACTGAAGCTGCAGAATAAGGTCTGGACAAGCAGAAGAAATGTCTGTATTTGGAGAATCGATCAATGACCACAAAAATTACCTCTTTGCCTCCTGATTTAGGAAGTCCTTCCACAAAATCCATCGAAATATGTTGCCACGCACGATCTGGAATAGGTAGTGGTTGTAATAAACCCGGATAGGGAACTGTTTCTGTCTTGCATCGCTGACATACATCACAACCTTCCACAAACTCAGTCACCTGCTTCTTCAACCCGGGCCACCAAAAATATCGCTTGATGCGTTGGTAAGTAGCTTGCCTGCCCGAGTGACCCCCCACTGGAGAACCATGGAAGAGGTGAAGTAATTGAACTCTCACATTGCCATTAGAACCCACATATAATGAAGACTTGTGGTACAGGAGACCCTGCTTTACTTCATGAATCCGAGGGCCTGTGAAAGGAACAGCAGCAGCTGTCAACAAGGCTTGAACTTCTTGGTCACCAATGTAAGTAGACTCCACCTCTGCCAACCATGCTGGTAATGCTGCTGTGATCGAACTGCAGTGGCCTGATGCAGAGAAATTAGGATGCCGAGAAAGAGCGTCGGCTACCTTGTTGTACTTCCCTTGACGGTAACGGATTTCAAAGTCCAATCCCAACAACTTCACCATACCTTTACGTTGTATCTGTGTGTGTAATTTCTGACCCAACAAGTGTTTCAGACTCTCATGGTCTGTAAGAATCACAAATGGACGCCCTTCCAAGTAATGACGCCACTTAGTAACCGCCAACAACACCGCCAAGTATTCCTTTTCATAAGTCGAGAGGCCTTGCTTCCGTGGGCATAAAACCTGGCTAAGGTATGCCAAGGGTCTTCCCTCCTGTGACAGAACAGCCCCCACTCCTATGTCACTAGCATCTGTTTCAAGGGTGAAGGGCAATGAGAAATCTGGCAAAGCAAGAACTGGCGCTTGAGTCATGGCTACCTTCAGCACTTCAAAAGCCCTCTGAGCTGGATTGGACCACTGAAAACAATTCTTCTTGAGTAACTCCGTAAGGGGTTTAGCAATCAACCCGTAATTCTTAACAAACTTACGGTAATAACCTGTCAAGCCAAGAAATCCTCTAAGCTCCTTCACTGTTTTTGGAACCGGCCAAGACACCATAGCTTCAACCTTTCCTGGATCAGTAGATACCCCCTCCTCATTGATTCTGTGACCCAAATAATCGACTTGAGTTTGGCCAAATGTGCACTTAGAGGGTTTAGCAAAAAGGGTTTGCTGCCGAAGAATTCTGAGAGTGACTTCCAGATGTCCCACATGAGATTTCTGAGTGGGGCTGTAAACCAGAATGTCGTCGAAAAACACTAGAATAAATTTCCGGAGGTGCTCTGCAAAAATCTCATTCATTAAGGCTTGAAACGTTGCCGGCGCATTCGTCAACCCAAACG